GTCCACGCGGGTGAAGGAGCCAGCGCTCGCGTCGCGCGGTGCCAAGTGTCCAGGAGGTGCGTATATGGTGCCACCATTACTAATAATCACAAGCTATTATACAGCAGCAGAACTACAAAGGAAAACTAGAGCATTTTCATTTTTTTTTTTTTTGTGTGTGTGATCGTTATGGTCATTTAAAGTGCAATGGCGCACGTGCGTAATGCGTAATATGCGCTGTTTATTTTCATCTGTTTTGGAAAAGTCTTTGACTAAAACTGACCTAAGGGGAATCCCACCGTTGCAATGAAACGGTAAAACCGGTCTTATCTGTGTTTCAGGTGTGCTGCTGTAGCTCCTCTCTTTCCTCTTTCATTTTCTCTCATATTATCCGCGCGTGCGTTTCTATTAGGGCTTCCTCACCGGGGCCATTTTTTTGGGGTGGGGGGTTGCTTGGCGTGTATTTTTTTATTTTTTATTTTTTGTTCACCTGCTCCACGAGAAGCGCCAGCTGCGTGGGGTTGGTGAGGAGTTTGAACAGATGTAAGGGACTATGAAAGCAACAGGTGCTGCTCACAATCTGCCTGCAGGATCAGGAGCAACTGTTCATGATGGCGCCTAAAGGCAGCTGAGGAGTGTTAATGAATGTTTTTATTTATAGGATGAAACCACATGGAGAAGGCCGGTATCCAGTTACACTAGATGTGAATATGAAATAAGAGATTTAAAAATGTGCAACGATAAAAAAAATATATATATATACAAATAGGGGATTTAAAAAAAAAGGGAAATAGCTCTCACAGCCATAAAACGTGCTGTTATTTAGCTCTCAAAATTCACCCAGGATTTTTTTGCATTAGCCTGTTTAAATGGTATTTCTGCATGTTATATAACTGGACTGATGCATATGTTGTCGAAGTTAAGCAGGTACTGAAGTTTTAGGTCACTTGTATTTAGACTATTTTTTTTCCCCATTAACTCAAAACGCTTAATTGTATCAATCGCTCACACTGAGATCCATCCATCCATCCATCCGTCCTTCCGTCTGTCTGTCCATCCATCCAGCCTTCCTTCCTTCCATCCCTCCATCCAGCCTTCCATCCGTCCGTCCATCCATCCATCCATCCATCCATCCATCCATCCATCCATCCATCCATCCATCCATCCAGCCTTCCTTCCACCCATCTGTCCATCTGTCCATCCAGCCTTCCTTCCACCCCTCTGTCTATCCACCCGCCTGTCCATCCATCCATACAGCCTTCCTTCCTTCCATCCGTCTGTCCGTCCGTCTGTCCATCCATCCATCCATCCATCCATCCATCCATCCATCCAGCCTTCCATCCATCCATCCATCCATCCATCCATCCATCCATCCATCCATACAGCCTTCCATCCGTCCATCCGTCTGTCCGTCCGTCTGTCCATCCATCCATCCATGGATTTTTCAGTTTGGTTAGAATTCAAGCAAGTCATACCTTAAGCTGGAAACATATTAAAACCTCATATTTTCTTCAGTGTTTGCAATTTATTTTAAAAAACATCTTTGCACTAAAGAAATTAACATTTGTCAGAATCATTGTTGCTGCTTGAACAGTAATTGGCAAATTCACATGTTTGTGAACTCATACCTAGAGTTGGTATTTTTAGCTGTTGATTCTTAAGCTTGAAGAACTTTTTGTTACTCTGTATTTAAATGCTTCAAAGGAAATCCGAGTTTCAAAACAACTAAAATACCTCAACAACCTAAGATTGGTCTAAAATGCTTTCCTTAATAAACAAATCTTTTATATCTACTTGATATTGCTTGTTGTTGTTGTTTTTTTAAAAAGTGAAACAGTGCAATGAACTCATTGTAAATATGACTACATTCTCAAACAATTTTGTAAACATCACAAAAAACGTCAGCAATATTTCATTCACATTAAACTTCGGGGATAGAATATTTGGGAGGCTATTATTTCAAATCCCTTGCTTTTATGCTCTGACAGCTGATTGTGTTGTCAGCCAAATAGTTAAACTTTCACTTCACTTCATTCTCATATATGAAATGGATTTTTTTCAAGAATGAATGATGATGTAAAAATTAGGTTGACTGTTAAAAAATGGAGTTACTGGTTAATTATTGTCTTAGCAGTTGCATTACTAGTATAACAGTTACATTCCCCCTGTGTTGGGCAGCTCTAACGCTACTAAACTTAAATGCTATTTAAACACTATTCATGGTTGTATAAGTTGAAAAAAATTAAATGTAAGCCTTTCATTTTTACTATATACCATACTGTAGTTTTAGCATCTATTTGTGTTCAACAAAAAGAGGCCATGATACATAATAAAATAACAGAAAGACATTTATACCAAAGACAGTTAAAAATATTAAGTGGTCGCAGAGGTGACTAAATGAAGGTCTCGTTTTGCACCTTTATAAGATAATCGATGCACTCCACAGGTCCTCTGTTCTTAAAATATGTTATCAGGACAAATTTCATCCTTAAAAACATATATATGCAACTGTAAGGGAATTAAATAACTAAGTTTATGAAATCTAAGACAGATGCCCATCAAGGGTTAAACTTTCCTAAAGGATGGGTCGATTTTCTTCATTATCTCCACTGATACAGATATTAATATTGGATCATTGCATCTCTAATCACTGCCCCTAATAGAATAACAGGGTGTCTTTTTATGCCTGCCTTGTTATCCTTGTTACACTATTTACAATTTACTAAGAATGCTGACCTAAACATTATTTAGACTCTTGATACGCATGTTACTTTCCACATTTCTACTTTTATCTATCAGATGCATCTGTCAATTAAGAAAGATATTTAATGATTCTTTTTAGTAAAACTGATACTTTGAACTGCAGACATTGTGAAGATTAAACCAAATATTGTAATTAATAAATGGTCATTGATCTGCATCAGGTCCAACTCAGGTTAAACTTTAGGATAAATATTAAGTTATGTTTATTAATCGGTATCAAAGGAACCCGGCTGTCCTGAAACCCAAAGATCAGCAATGGAAGCAAATTAAAAAAAATCATCAATCAGTTGACCTTTAATCAATAAAATGCAATAAGCTATCAATGCAACAGAGGAAGGTAATATACTGTAACAATACAGTTCCCTTAATGCCTGAGTTGTAATATTGGAAAATGATGTGCAAAAAAAGCTTGTGAAATCCCCACATGTCATGTAGTTATTAAGTACTATAAATAAACACTTAATGAGGCATCAACTTAAATGAAAAACGCACCGAATAATGTTGTGAAAATTTTACAGTTATGCATAATTAAGAATAATTATTTCCACTAACCAAAAATTTCCGTTTCCAATACGCTGTAAGAAAAAATGCATTGCTCTGGATCCACGTCACCATCTTCACAAATTTATTTTATGCAGTTTGTTCAAATTTTTTCAACTAGGGTAAAGTGAAATGCATGTTTAGTAAGCAAAGACATACAGTTGGTCTAACAGTGTTTTGCCCAAATTCAAATAATGTATTTAAATACTAACAACATTCTTTCATTTTTGCTCCGTAAAATATGTCTTTTGACGATAAAAGAAAAGCCGGAAAGTAAAAAGAATGAGTCTGGAAGAGCAGAGGATTGTACTAAACAGAATCTACCATAAAGATGATGCAAAGATTCCTTCTTTGGCTGGGTCTCAGTATGTCCTGCACAATCAAATAAATAGCTTTATTTGGAAAGCTTCTGCAAATTCATTAACATTTCCAGTCTGGTCAAAAAAGACAGAATTCTTTAGTTCTCCAGACGCCTAAATTACAGGACCGTTTTTTCATTGCATTTAACTACAGAAGTCTGTTTAGTTTTTTTTTTTTTTTTGTTTTTTCCCATGATGTACGTTTGGTGAATTTGTTTTGTCTTACTTTTGATAATGACAACCAAGGTCAGTACAACCGTAGAAACGTATCACCTGTCACACAGTTGTTGGAAATGTTTGGGAACAACTGACACGAACAGGTGGCATCGGATCGAGCATTTCTCTAAAAAAAAAAGGATTCTTGTCATATTTTAGCCTTGAGTGTCTTCCCTTTTTTAGCTTCTGTCTATAAGCAGTGGCGTTCTGATTCAGCAGGAATTTAGCATTCATATCACAAAAGAAGCTTTAGTGTTCAGAAAGTGAAGGAATATGTGTCTCATCCAACAGGTTTCTAAATTGGAAGTTAGTCAGAACCATTTGTTGTTAAGCTCCCTTGCAGGTAATGGTTTCCTCTGGATTCTGGACAGAAATGTTTATACTTTACACTTTAAACTCTGTACATAATGAAAGCAGCTGTGTCTTTTCTGCTTGTGTTGTAGTGACTTCCTCTGAGAAGACCTTAGATATGAAGGCTTGTTGGGTTTGATTCTTGCTTAGGGTGCTAGAGGTCCTGGGTTCAAATCCCAGACAAGCTCTTTCTGTCTGTTGTGGGAGTGGTGGCTAAGTGGTTAGTTAGGGCTTTGAGAATGTTATTTGATGCTCTCTATGTAAGAATATTACACCATGATGACATCTTATGGCTTCCCAAGAGTAAGGGTTAAATGCACAATTAAATTTCTCCATTGTGAGATCAATAAAGTTTAATTATTATGAGTGTATTTTTTTTTAATTTGCTATAGGTCCGGATAAAAGACAATTTTTTTTAAACTTTGCTTTTAATACTTATCAAACTGATTTATGCTTAGTATTTTTGTGCATACAATGTTTTATCTTTCAGTGAAGAACTTTGGTCTTCCTGGTTTTGTTGTAAAGTGCTATACAGATAAACCTTGATTGATTGATTGATTGATTGATTGATTGATTGATTGATTGATTGATTGATTGATTGATTGATTGATTGAGTGATGGATTCATTTGCTCTTTAAGCATTCATGCAAAAAAAGGAAAGAGCTTAACTTTAAACTTTAGATGTATGCATGTTGCAAAATTATTGTAGATAATAACCACACATGGATATAGAATGGAAAAGTGACCTTTTGAAATGTAAATGCTTATAATCTGATTTACTTCTTTCCGCAGCGTCCTCGTTGGCTCTATCAAAAGGCTACTCTGGCCGGGGCTCGTGACATGCGCTCTTCCTGAGCCGGGTGAGGTCTCCCTCAGCAGCACGGCGGCAGCATGCCGGTGCAGGCAGCCCAGTGGACAGAGTTCCTGTCCTGTCCCATCTGCTACAATGAGTTCGACAGCAGTGGCCACCAGCCGATCAGCCTGGGCTGCTCCCACACTGTGTGCAAGACGTGCTTGCACAAGCTGCACCGCAAGGCCTGCCCCTTCGATCAGACCCCCATCAGCACAGACATCGACCTGCTGCCGGTCAACTGCGCCCTGCTGCAGCTGGTTGGAGCAGAGGTGAGATAGTCCCTGCACGTTTCATTCTAGATTTGTTCTTTTGAGATGCTTCACTATCTAATTGCATTGTCTTTGTGTGTGTTAAAGGTCCCAGAAGTTCAGCCTGTGAGCCTAAGCAGTGCAGCTGATGTTGAGCACTATGAGATCTGCCGATTGTGTGTAGAAGAGCTGGCTCTCTACTTGAAACCGATCAGTGGTGCCAAAGGTACGGAATATGTACCGTTATGTGAACTTTCTTTGAAAGACAACTTTGCCTTGTCTCTACAGATCCCATTAAGATCATTTGTAAAAGATCAATTCAAAGTTGAACTTGTGAAGTAAAGAGGAAACTCTACAGCTCACTTCATTGTTTTTACAAATCCAACCTTAAAAATGATGCATGCTTTTATATTCAGCCCCAATAAAATAAAACTTCTAAGAATCAAATTTCTCTACAACTATACTATAGCTCCATGTCTGTTAGGCTACGACTTAACTTGGTTCACCAAGTGACTGAGATTTTTCCGTTTTTTTTTTTTAGCACCCAGTTAACAATACTTTGTGATGCTGCTATGAAAAACCCTGACATTAAAAAAACATAGTTAGGGTTGGTGAGGTGGGTTTTTTAACAAGACACAAGAGTTCAGATGTATTTTTGGGTTGAGAAGAATATTGGCATATTTGGACATTTGCTGTAGAGAATTAATCTCTTCATATTCAGCCTGCGGAGGCTGCTTGTAAAAACTGGCATTCATATTTTCACACATCTCATGATGCCAGAAGCCTCTGTACTTTTATGATTCCTTGAAAATATTCAGCTTTATAAGAAAACAGGACTACTGTGGTAAACCAAGTCACAAATCAGTAGCTTGATTATATTACATGGATAATTTGGACCTTATGTTGTTGTTAAGACTGATTTACAAAATGGTCATGATTTCAAGATGAGCTCTGTGAAATTAGTATATTTTTAATTGAAGAAATACTTCATTGGGTATATACTAAACTGTTTTTTCGCATGCTCCCTCCAGGTGTGGCTAACCTGAGTTCGAGCGTGCTCAGCAGACCCATGCAGAGGAAGCTGGTGACCCTGGTGAACTGCCAGCTGGTGGAAGAGGAGGGTCGTGTCCGCGTGGTTCGGGCTGCCCGCTCTCTGGGGGAACGGACTGTAACTGAGCTCATCCTGCAGCACCAGAACCCCCAGCAGCTCTCTGCCAATCTCTGGGCAGCAGTGAGGGCACGTGGCTGTCAGTTTCTGGGTCCCGGTGAGTCTGTGTTTCGCAGTACACTTTGTGGACATGAGCAAACATTTTTGCAGTTGTAGATTCTGTTTGTTTTTTTTGTAAAAAAAAACAATTTATTTATTCTTAATGAATTTTACAACATTTTTTTAAATGTGTTCGAGCTTGAAACTTGCTACTTAAATAAATAAAAAATTTGCCAACAGAAAAAAACTTGAACAAAAGAGTAGGTTTTAAGAAAAATACATATTTTCTATTAGACAGCAGCCTGGACACCAATCCTATTAAAAGAGGGGAACACTTTGACATTTTTTAAACTGACCTTTACTCTTGCTCCAAAACTATGTCAGAATTGCTAGTCTAACAAAGAAGCAAAAATCCCATAACTTCTGTTAAAGGTATAGGGGAGGATTTCCCCGAATTTTTGAAAGGAAACGCCCTCTCCCCTTAAAAATGCACAACCCTGTACCCGCTCTCTAGAGGGAACGCCAATTAAATGTGTGCGAGAGCGTGCACCAGCCCATTTCTCCTCATTTTAATAGCAGTGAAGTGAAATGGATTCTCCAGATAGCATGCCAAAATTAACCTGTCTAGTAGAAACTTTGCAACCGAGTCATTTATTTTTATTTATGTATTTTTCACCCGCAAAAGAGCATTTTAGCGGGTGACCCGTTGGGGACCCGCGGGTACCCAACCCGTTGCAGGACTCTACCACGATGTGAAAGAATCTTCCAAAACCAGTCTTGTCTTGTTTCTCTCTTCTAAGACCTTTCTCTTCTTCACATAAACTTCGTAGTCACTTTTTCTCTTACGCCCCTCTGGCATTTTCAAAGAACCATGGTGAAAAAGGCGAGCTTCGATGATTGGCTGAAATCATAGCTCACCACACATATATTTCTGAAAGTGCGCATGTGCAGAAAAAAAGATAGCTAACTGGGGATGAGCACGTAGGATGGCCTTATGTAAACATCACCAGAATGACTGGCAATTAGGAGGACCAGTGGTTAGTGCCCACAACCCATATGTGGAGGCCTTAGTCCTCGACGTGGGCAACCTGGGTTCAAAACTGACCTGTGGTCCTTTGCCGCATGACTCTCCCCCTCTCTCATACCCCATTTCCTGTCAGCCTACTGTCAAAAAATGAGCCACTAGTGCCATAAAAACTCAAAAGAAAAAAATGAACTATAGATGAAAATCTCACTCTCAAGCCAATATTGGTATGGCATGCTCAACAACTGATGTGTTAACTGCACTAACCATCTCTTTTGCTATTTAAAACCTGTAAGTCTGTGAATATTTCAGTTTCTTAGCACATGTAATTAAATGGTTAAATCCCTTAAAACCATTTATACACATGAAGTCAGTATAAAAAAGTATAATTTGGCTCAGACACAAAAGATTTTTTTTTGACATGCCTGTTTAGTTTTAACGATGAAGATGGTTTGAAAAATGTTTTTGGAACAAAATGGCTTTGATTTGGCCGTTTGACCATTTGTGGCACCTTATTGTCTTGTTCAATTATTTTTAAGTTTACATACACAAATTTTATACAATTGGAGAAACTGTTTCAGTGGAGGACTAGAAATCGTTTTCTTCCTCTGCTTACTTACACTTCCCTCCAAGTAAACATCTCTGGGAAGTGTAAGAGTGCTCACTTCTTTTTCATTTTATCTGCCAGTAAACTTGCTGAGAATTACCACGTTTTCTTTTTTAAATCAAGCAGTCAGCAGTTTCCCTCTGCAGTTTAAGATGACGTGTCACCATCCATATATGGGCATTGTGTTTCTGTTTAACAGGGGTCCCAAAAGCTTTCTAAAGTTTCCACTTTAAAAGCTTTAAAACCAAAGAAAAGGCCAAAATGGTTTACACTTAAAAGATTTATTCAAATTAGAATATTTTCTCGTTTCCATCACTTTTTTATCTCTCATTTTCTATTTTATTTGTATGAATTTACTGTGTTTTTTTACTGTCAGGTTTGCATATGACTCATAGAATTTGAACCTTGTAATGTGTGAATATTAATTAAAGTATTGTCATAGGACATTTTGTGTTGATAAGTTCTCTTCAAAGTTGCCAGAGTTACTCATTGTGCATTACCTCATCCACCTGTCAGCTGGTCTTGGTACCGGGTGTCCTGTGATGATTACTCATAGGGCAGATTCTGACTGGGAACACGTTTCTCATCATGATAACAGAATGAGTTGAAAAGTCTGAGGACACCTGGATGTTTTTGAACTATTTCCTGTTTGTTTACCTTTGCTGGGGTAAACTCCCTCTATCTTTACTCCTCAGCGATGCAAGAAGATGCGCTGAAGCTGGTTTTACTGGCTCTGGAGGACGGTTCTGCTCTCTCCAGGAAGGTGCTGGTTTTGTTTGTGGTCCAGAAGCTGGAGGCCCGGTTCCCCCAGGCGTCCAAAACAAGCATTGGCCATGTGGTGCAACTACTCTACAGGGCCTCCTGTTTTAAGGTAAAGGATAAATAAAAACATTTTCTTTTTTCAATGGGTCCATTTAAATTACATGAAATACTAAAACTATTTGAAGAGACTTCATGTGTCATCATAGTTAGAGCTCCTCCAGATAGACCTTTGATCTGTGTGTATTTCTAGAGCTGTTATTTGATGAGCGACATCTCTGCCTGGACAGAAATGCTAACTATCCACTCATGATGTAACCTCCAGCTATATTCGCCCCTTGGTGCTTTGCAGGCTGGGCGGAGACAGTAATGAGACTCAGTGGCAGGCAGATTAATTCACAGGATTACAGAAAAAAAAGGACAAAGGAGTGCAACTTAAGCACAGAAGTCATTTAATTATGTTTTGGTTGTCGTTAACTGATTTTTTGTAGGGTTATATGTTGGTGTCTTATGATGATTACTCATAGGGCAGATTCTGAGTATGGGAGAGTCCCTTCATGTGATCAGAATTTGAGTTTATGAGTCTGAGGACGCCAACAAACAATCAAACCTAATCTGTGAAGGATCTGACATTTACTTCAAAATGCCTTGGACTGTTTTTTTTTTGTTTTGTTTTTTTTTTGACTGTAGGCAAATTATAAATAGAAATGTTTTGTTTCCTCTTTTCTCAAGCTTTGTGAGTTACTCACTTTTCTTTTTTTCTCACAACACGCTCTGTCCTTACCATCAGGTGACTAAGCGTGATGAGGACTCCTCCCTGATGCAGCTGAAGGAGGAGTTTCGGACGTATGAGGCGCTTCGGAGAGAACATGATGCTCAGATTGTCCACATTGCCATGGAGGCTGGCCTTCGAATCTCTCCTGAGCAGTGGTCCTCTCTCTTATATGGAGACCTGGTTCACAAATCACACATGCAGTCCATAATTGACAAGGTATCATTATTATTAATGATGTATTATAGCATATTTATTAGCGCCACAGATTAAGATAGATACAACCTTTTAAACTGGTAAAAAGAATCATTTAATTTGAATACCTTCTCAATTTTTATCTGTTATCAATTGTCCAAACTCAATATCTGGGGAAGAATTTCTGTATTGATCTAACCATACTTTCATATCAACATATAGAGCTATAACCCATTTATCATTTCCTGGCGGAGGAGCCCATATATCTGTTTGTTTACTTGGGTTTTTATAATTATACTCTTATATTATACTCTATATTTCTATATAGAGTATATCTATATTTATTTTTGACTGCAAAATTTGTGCATTGCAACAACACATATCTTCTGTATTTAACCAATCAAAACAGCAAGCTTCCACTGTGCAGAGGTTGGGGAGCATTTTGGTCCTAAGAGTTTTACTCAGGGGCCAAAAGTGTCAGTCTGTTGAATTGAAATCTTCTCTATTATGCGGCTACTTTCCTCAAAAACATATAAAATATCATGGTTTTAGCTTCTTGGCAGTAAGAGCTTCTACTAAAGGATGAGGCTTCGTCAGCTCTTTATTTCAGCTCTGCAGGAATTGAGCCCAATCTCTTCATTTGTTCGGGAGCTTTAACGCGGCAAATAAATGTAAAAATGTGTGAATTTGTGACAGATGTTCTCCGTCATGCCTGCTTCTATCATGTTTTTGTGCTAAATGAAAATGATACCCTTATTCTTTCATTTCCAACTTTTAGTTCCCCCTCAAGCGGTTAAGAACAATTCACAGAAAAGCCAAACCTTCTTATAAAGCCACATGGCTCAAAGCGTGGGGAAAAAGTAGCATATTCTGAAAAATACAGTAGTTGCGTTTATTTAAAGCCATCACAAGATTAATTTAACACTGCAGCTTTAAGATTATAATAGTATGACAGACAGGTAATTTTCCAGCTAATTTCTAAATCAGTGGTTGATGTGAATGCAGCTTCTAATAGTTCTTAGCAAAGCTGAATTGAACTAAGCTGCAATTTCTTAACTTTTGTTCTCTTATACCATCCTCTCATTGTGTATGATAGTGAAAAAAACCTGAATCATCCCTAAACATTTTATTAAGGTCCATTATTTTAACTTCATGATTTTGGCTCTAAGTGTAGATACTAATGAGGCAAGTTTTAGCCATTTCCCAATTTAGTACGGTCAAAAGCAGTCTGCTTTATTTAAATGCTATGTGAGATTATGCAGCTGCATTAAAACACTTAAGTGTAATATTTCAGTCCAGGCTGATATGGATAGGGAGCTAATAATTCCTGAGGGATCTGCACATAACAGAAAAAAACTAATTCAAGAGCACTTAAACTAATCTTTTATTGTGTGTGCTGTAGTTGCAGTCTCCAGAATCATTTGCAAAGAGCGTCCAGGAACTGACGATTGTTCTCCAGAGGACAGGAGACCCTTCCAACCTAACCAGTCTTAGACCACACCTGGAGCTCCTGGCCAACATAGATCACAACCCTGGTACTTCATTTTTGTATCTTTACTACATCTTTTTGCTGAAAAAAACATTCTTACAAAAGCTACAAATTTCCATTAACATCTACTGACAATACCTGATGGCTGGAAATATAGTTTATATGTTTAAAAAAGTGTTAAATCTAGATTCATATTGTAGTATATTGTATTCAAATTTGTATCTGTAAAATGATGACTTGCATTATGACAAATTGTCCCAACATTATCAGGAAATAAATCAATTTAAAGAAAAAATATATATTTGAATAAACTACAAAAGTTCACGTAATACTTTGATAATGAAAGCAGCCTGGGTAATAACAAAAGGGCAGGATTTGTAATCTGCGGTTTTCATCTTAACCACACGGCCAACACAGATTGAACTTTGACAATCTACAGAAAAAAATAATCTGTGTGACATTTAAAGAGGTCTGACTGATTTCCTTATCTTTCTATTTCAAGCTTAAACCTCTATCAAAGTAGACTTTTCAGATTTTATATATTTATTTATGGTCTGCCTTTTCAACCACAACTGTTATTTTATAGTTCATTTCCATAATTTACCTTATCTTCTAATCCATATTGATGTTAATCTGTGTGCAGATGCCCCAGCTCCATCATGGGCAGAGCTGGAAAGTGTGATGCTGGCTGTAAAGTTTGTGGTTCACGGTCTGGTGGAGTTCGTCCAGAACTTTAGCAAGAAGAGCCATGAAACTCCACAGGTACGCTTATAGACCAGAGTAATGCCATCCTGCTCTGATAGTAGATGTTTGTTTTCCCCTGAAGAAGGCATCATTTCAGTACACCTCAATGCAGACTGAAGCAAACTTAGTTCTTTTTTCATTTGTCACTGAATGTAAAGAAGTTCCTGTAACTAAGAAAGCAGGAGTAATAGCACAGCTGTTACTCTGTTACTGCCATTTACATGTTTGTAACTTTGCCTTAACCCTGATGATTTTGGTTGGAGGTTTTAGAGGCCCTAAAGAAATGAATATTGAAATAACAACATTTAAACAAATTCAATTGAATATAAATATTCAGTAAACAGTTTTTTAGTTTTTTAATGGGCTTAAGTATTACATTTAAGGCTGCTCAGTGGCACAATGGGTAGCACTGCTGCCTTGTAGCAAGAAGGTTCTGGGTTTCATTCCCGCCCCGGGGTCTTTCTGCATGGAGTTTGCATGTTCTCCCTGAGCATGCGTGGCTTCTCTCTGGGTACTCCAGCTTCCTTCCACAGTCCAAAAACATGACTGTTAGGTTATTTGGCTTCTCTAAATTCTCCTTAGGTGTGAGTGTGTGTGTGAATGGTTGTTTGTCCTATTTGTCTCTGTGTTGCCCTGCGATGGACTGGTGATCTGTCCTGGGTGGACCCCGCCTCTCACCCATAGACAGCTGGAGATAGGCACCAGCACCCCTCGCAACTCCAGTTGGGATTAAGCATGTCAGAAATGAATGGATAAATATTTTTTCAAATGAAATGAAGAAGAAATTGTACATCCTTTCTTTCTAGACTTCCAGGCAGTGAGGGTGTACCAAAAGCTGAAATGATCATGGAAATGGTGTAGTGACCCTTGTTTACTTTAAAAGGCCATTGCAGCATTTTAAAACCCAAAGAAGCAAAAGGGCAAGACAGGATTTTCTTTCATGGGAATTTATTCTGTCTTTGCTGAAAAGGTTTCCAAGGTTTAGCTTCAGCCAAGAAAGATGACGCTAAGAGGCAAACTTTCTGCCTAGAAGTTATTAGGGAAAATACAGCATGGATCTGTTTGCAGTTTTCATGTTTCACTGTCAGCTGGTTGAAGGGAGGCTATTGCATTTTTACAGCTGATTTATATATATATATATATATATATATATATATATATATATATATATATATATATATTTTTTTTTTTTATTTATTTTTTTTTTTTCAAGGCCAAAATAGGTTTCTTACAGTTATTTAAATTTAATTGTTGTAAATTTGCAAAGCTTTTTATTTGTATGTTTTGCAGGGTCCAATAAAAAATGTATTTCCTTCACCTATTTTCTCAATTCTGTTATTCTTTCAAAAAGATATGAATACTGTAGTGCAGAACAGAGTGTAGTTACCAATAAAAGAGTAACACGTCTTAAATTAGGTTCTTAGTTTTAGCTATTTAACAAGAGATGTCATCAATAAATGACTGGTAAATCATTTTAGAGATATTTGGCTGCTTCTTTTGGCAGCTGGTTTAAAGCTGAAATATGTGTGATAATTTTAGAAGGTTACAGCTTCATAAAAGGAGCTGTTTTCATTTGTTGAAAAAGTGAATTTGTGCTCAAATGTTTAAAAACCTTGTATAAATGAGTCTGCTAAAGCATGAAATTACTGAATGGCAGATTCATGAAAACCTGTATGCTTATAAGTTTTCATTTATTGTAAAATATCCAGAGTAGTTTTTGATTGTTTGTATTTTTGTATCCTGCAGCCCCAAGCCAACAGTAAATATAAGACGAGCATGTGCAGAGACCTTCGTCAACAGGGAGGATGCCCCAGAGGAACCAGCTGCACATTTGCACACACCCAGGATGAACTAGAGAAGTGAGAACTCACACAGGCACCAATCTCTCTGCATTTTAACATTTTCTTATGTAAAATAAACAAAACATGTATAGCAGTTTTACTCGTATAATTTTAACATCCTTCATCCTTAAACATAAATTTTGGAATGAACTAGACAAGTATTAAAATGTGTAATCAGAAGAGTTTAAAATGATTTGTCCTCTGCAAAGATTCAGGCTGAGGAACAAGAAGAGCGGCAGTGTGGTTCGCCAATTTCCTCTGGCCAATAAAGGCATCAAAGATACAGAGGAAAACATGGGTTCTACAACAGAAGTAGGTTCCAGCCTGACAAACCCGCTGCTGATCTCCAGAGGGTCTGGAGGTGTGGAAGAACTGAAAAGGGTTGTTACGAATGGAACCAATGGGACTAACGGCCCTACCAGAACCCCATCGGGGTCAACAGAGCTGTATGAATCCTACTTCATTGGATATTTTTTGTTGGCATTTGATGTCTGAATATTCAGGTTGTTCTGGACTTAATCTCCTGTCTACTTCTTATGTTCTTGGGATCTTTTGGATCATTAGGAAGTCCCTGTCTCCCCCCAGAACTCCAGTCAGCCTCTCGTCAGCTTCGTCTCCATTGAGCACTCCTGGTGGTGCTGATGTCAGTACTCCTCTGCCTCGACATGGCCAATTCATCCTCTCCTCACCTCACCCCTCTCAGGGGTCAGAGATGTACTATCAGGAGCCCCACCCTGGTTACGACAAGGCACACTTTCAGCAAAGCTGTGAGTCTTTGTCAAAAGAAATAAGAATCAAACATATTTATCTTTTATTGTTTCCTTCAGGGAGTTAAAAAAGAATTCAACCTATTTTCCAGCAGGTTCATTCTATCCATCTACTCTTCACCCTCCACACAAAACATGCATGGCTCGCTTCCTCCGGTCCTCTAACGTCCAGGAATCGGCCCTGCCTCCTTCTGCGGGTGTTTCCTCGTACCCAAATGACCATCAGCCACCTCACCCAGCCTCATCCCCTTCTTCAGGATTTCCTCCTAGAGATCAAATGGGAGCCCCCACCTTCCATCACCATCCAGGACAGGGACAGTATGGACATTTGGGACCTTCTCACAGTGTTTATGCTCCTCTCTATGACAGCAGGAGACTATGGAGACCTCAGGTAAGACTTCATGCAAATATCCACATGTTAACCAGCTCTACCTGCATCAGAACTAAAGATTTCTAAAAGCCTTCACTTTTTAAAGACAAATAAACAAACCACCGCCTGTTTAAAATAATGCAGCTTTACAGTATTACTGAAAACACCTTTCAGTAAATTCTCCATGTTATTCTTCTTGTTTGATTTTATTGCATTCCCTATGTCTCAGAGCCAAGGGGAAAAATAACCTCAGCCCAGCTACGCTGACTCTGTTATTAGGTAACTTTTATAAGAGATAGTGTTGCCAGCTTGTAGCAGCTTTGAATAAAAAAAATAAAACCTTAAAATGTAAGAGAAATGTATTTTTAAGGCAATTTAATGTTTATTGTTCATGAGTTTGCCTGACAACGTTCAGTGCAAACTTAGACCTTTCACATATACGACTGTAATAAACCAACAGCAGGAACTTAAAGATCAGCTTCGCTGATTGGAGTAGCCTGGACAGCTTAACTAAATATAGCAGTCGCCCCCCTACCAACAACTCTACCAACCCCTCCGCTCTGACCACCTAGTACTTGCACTATAGATGACAGAGGACGATATAAATGGGTTATTTTAGCATCAGAAGACCAGGAAAGCACTATGAATTGATGGCATTCCTATTTACTGCCTGAAAAGCTTCCACTGACCAACTCTTCCCCATTTTCACTCAGATTTGTACTACTTTTATCCCTGCATTCAAAAAACAGATTATTCAATGACAACAGACCTGATATCTAATGATGAAATTATTTTAGAGACTGATGTTAAATCATCTGCACTACATCTTTTTTTTTCACCAGCCTGAATAGTCAGCTACTCTGCTTCGAAATAAAATAAGCATGTTTGCACTACCACATTCTGCCTTTCATTTTTTCCCTTTCTTTATAGGAAAAATGGCTGTACCCACACATGCCTGTACTTACTGTTCCTTTCAGCTTCTGTTTCCTCTTAACTTTATATATCTACACATAAAGTCTGTCAAATGTGAGCAAGGTTACATTTCTTGTTTGTGTAATTCTTTGAGCGTTAATCACATCTACAGCCTGACACATAGAATTCTACATAAGGCTAAGGGTTTATTTATACGTTATTAGTTAGATTTTGCTAAGTTAACCCCAAATGGTAGATATAAAAGAAAAATGTATCATGAAAAAGTATAATTGCTTTAACTTTTTGCATTAATCAAAACAGATCAAACCTTTTTTACCCTCAAATCAGTTAATGGAATTGCACCATGATAGATGGGTGGCCTATAGGAGGGGAGTGATGGTCTAGCCTAGAATCCTGAGGTTCTGGGTTCATATCCCATTCCCACAGACGGCCATTCTGGGTCTCTAAGCAAGACCCTTAACCCCTGATTGCTCCTGAAACTGCAAAGTTGCATCCCACTGCTCACCAAAGGGGATGGGTTAAATGAAGAGTGTTAATTTCTTCATTGTAAGAAATTTTATTTTTATTAGTCTGCGAATGAATCAACGCCTGAGGGTATCGAGATATGTAACTTCCCAACCACATACCAGAAATGCACAAACCTTGATTTAATGCATGTAGTACCAAAGTCAATCAGTTTCAATTAGGTTGTACTGTTTGGCTGTTCATACTTTAAAGTGCATTGTTCCATCAGTAATAAACTGCAATGCTTCATTATATGTAAAATGGCTCCCAGATTTAGTTTTAAATGCATATTAAATGCATTCTTAGTCTGGTGGGAAGCAGATGTTAAAAAGTGCCAAAAAAAACATCCATTGAAATGATCATTTTGCAAAGTTTCTGTTACCTCTCAACTTAATGGTTCTTCTGTTGACAGTGGGAGCTTTTTATTGATTAATTGATTGACTTTATTGATCTCACTGAGTAGAAATGTACTTGTTACATCAGTTTAAGTAGTCAAAGTAGAAGAATGTGCCAAAAGAAGAAAGATGTGCATCGGATATATACAATGCGTCCACATATGACAGCTTTTTTTTATTTTTTATAGTATGGTTATTTTTTTATATACAGGGTTATTGCACGGGGTGTCAAATATAGAGAAACAGGTTATTGCACAGGTTATTAAATGTTACACAAATGTTGTTAGATGTTACACAATATATGACAATGTTCCAGAACTGGTGCAAAGAAAAACTTGTAAAGAACTTCAGAAAATCCAAAGAAATGTTGATTTTCTGTTCCTTAAAGATGGCATCACCTCCTGCTTCTTATAAACGGCCGTGCTGTAATGTATAACTTGATTTATCTGTCACTTGTTGAATGATCACCATTACAGCTGTACCACAGAGAGGATGCCAGGAGTAACTCACTGCCTCCGGAGGTTCTGCACTCCTCAGTCTACCAGCCTCCACTCAGGGAGAGATTCAACTCTCTAGACAGCAACTACTGCTCTGGAGCGGAGCATCGCACCGGGCTGCACAGGGTATGATAAATAATTCACCCATTGGCTGATGGAAATCCTCATTGAGGGTGTTGATGTAACCCTTAGGCTTCAATTTCTTATTATTTTTCACCTATATGCTTCAATTTATCATTACCTGTTTTAACCTTCTCAATAATAAGTGCATCAGAAATGCTTCACGCTGACCCATACATTGCTGCAGTTGGACTATACAGTACTGCAGGATTCATTGCTAAAGCAACATTACTCTGTCAGTAGGAAGAGAAGTGAGTGGGTGAAGCAAAGACGTATCTGGGTGAGAAGGGGGTGGACCACAGAGTAGGCTGAAGCCACGTGCTGCAGAAATGTGACAGGAAAGGAAAGGTAGAGATGAGTTGATATGTGGGTGTAAGGAAAAGAGAAAGCAAAAACAGGAAAATAGAAAGTTGCAGTAAATCCTTGTTGTTGTCAGACTGCAATTAATAAATAAAGACCTCTGAAAAATATTGCATGTTATACTACAAATGGAAATTTAGAGTCAAAATAGCCAGAAAGGAAACGCACCAAAGGAAACATATTTATGTGCACAGCATAAGAACTGAAAATACGGTTGAATATGTAGAAATAAAAAGTGCTCCACAATGCATGCGTTGCATCACTTTGCTGTCAGTGCATTGAAATATGAGTTCCATTACAATTATGCAAATGTGTATGATCTGTTCACTGTCATCTCTTCCCTGTTTTTCCGTTTTGATCTGATGCTGCTTCAGGACTATGGGCGCGTTCCTCTGGGATATGAGGATCTGTTCAGACGGAAGCAGGAACACTGGACTCACATTCACCACCATCACAGACCCTCCCAATCTTCCCCCATCTTCACTGCTGAGTTTGGGCCAGAGGTACAGAACAAAAACAAACACATTAGAAAATAGTTTTAATCTTAGAATTAGTAAAACCATTTTCATGGACAGTCGTTTCCAATCTATAAAGAAAGTGAGCTGTGCTTTGGTCAAATATTTATGCGCTTAACTTTTTAAAATGTGAATTTATTTAGCTCCTATCTCATTAGGCGTACACTTGCTGCTTCCCCCAATGCTACTTAAGAGGGAGGTGGTTGCTTAGCAACTGTTGAAGCAGATATCATAGCAATGCATGGTCCTGGCATGCGTGTGGGTGTGTGTGTGTGTGTGTCTGAGAGAGCAAAGACTTTGTTGAGCAGTGACTCAGGCGTTTGACTGAATAAAGCTTTGTTTAACGGCTTGTTGGATGTTTTTTTTTTTGTGGGTGAACACACTTATTGTAAAATAGATCAGGTTGGAAAAACAAACAGCTTTTTTTAAATGTCAATTTATATGAATTGGTTTATTTTAAGTTATATCACAAGTGGCCTTTCTCTGCTAAAAGGAAAAGTTGATTAAATGTTATTATTCTCCTTAATCCAATATATTAAACATTTCAGTTCTATTCAAGCGACAAAAAATATTATAGACTGCAAGAAATGTTTCAGATACTTCTCAGTAAAACATCCTTGCATTAGAGTTTAGCACATCAGCAGGTGAAGCAGGACAACTGCAATAGGTTAAGTTGTATTCCTTATGTTTAAAGCATTAGTCTGCTTTGTGAGACTTTTGTCTCCCCCTTCTGGAAGCAGGTGTAATAACACATACTTTTTCCACTCCAAGACAATTTACATTTTACTGTGACATTGTGGTTTTTATGACATCATGACCACAAATTAATTTTTGCTATTATTATTTAAAATGGCCAATTCAAAAAAGGATTATAAATGTGAAATGGAAGAAAGGTTTATGGTTTTCAAATGGAAATCTAAAAATTTTTTTGCATTTTAATCACCTCCCGTTCCCACAGTAAATACTTTGTAAGACAGTAACTACCACAGGAATTCTTTGGTGGTATTCACTTACAGATTTACTTTGCATTACAATATAAACCGTGCAAAATAATGAAAATCTGTTTGAATTAAGTAAATTAATTTTACTTAACTTTTTTCATTGCTAAAACAGCTGATATTGGCTAGAAAAGCCGGTATTAATTAAAGCTTGATGTTGAGATGGAAACAATAGATTTATTCTCCCCCCTTTAACTGAAATATATAAGCCATATGTTTGTTATGAACCGAAATACAGTAGTATTCTATTCCAAGGCTCTAAAGTATGGAACAGTCTCACCTCCCCCTTTGCTGAGCCCTCACAAAACCAGCTTAAGAACTATCTAGAAAACTAAAATTTTTCCTGATGAATGTCTGTCTTTTCAATTATGGCATCTCCTTTTAAACCTACTGAAACCATGTAACTACGGATATGCATGTTTTCATTAACGGTTAAGAGATTTACACATTAATATGTAGGTTACCTTTTTTAAGTCCCTTCAGAGCCTTTGGTAACTTTCCTTCACATTTTACTATAAAAATAAATTGTGAAATTATGTATTTTACACTAAAATTAAGATAAACTAAACTAAGCAAAATAATTTGTTAATGCACTTCCTATAGATATCATTACATTTACATGTATCATTTCATAATTGGATATTTTGCTAAATATAATGCAGCTCTACTCTATGTTTATTAAAGGTGCAGTGTCCTTGCTTGTAAGTTGCATTCAATCCAGTTTCTAGCTAAGTAAATGTTGGGTTTTTCTGTTCTTGAAAGGTTATTCTGTGTTGGTCTTTTTTCAATTAGGGTGTCCAATTATAATCTGCAACAGCAAAAGAAAAAAAAAAAGTATTACAGTAATAATTGAGATGTACACAACCATTCATAGCTTTTAAAGGTACATGCACATGGAATGCAAATTTTGCAGCCAGAGAAAAGGATTCCCATGTTATCTCTAGAGAGCGGATCTGTAGCAAAGCAAAGCGGAGCAAAAATGAGCAAGATGAAGGTGAGAAATTTAGGCAGGCGAATGGCACGATTTTTGATAAAGTTGGTGACATTTGATTGCCGCCTCACCTGCTAATGAAGTGGAAAAATCTGAACTTTAGTTAAATTTAAGTGCGAAATCAAGTCAGAGACAAGATTTGCTTGTTAGCAAGGGCTGAACGATTTTGCAAAAAATCAAAATTGCAATTATTTTGAACCCATATTGTGATTTTATTTCAGGTTTTCTACGCAATAACCACACCTATGTAGATGTTTCACTCTAGGGTTTCATAATTTTCATTCCCTTGACAGTTTCCTTACTGCATGACTTTGCTGTAACCTTTGTGTAGAGAAAAGCTTACTTCTGCTTGCATGCATAGATCTGAATACTAGCAGGAAGTTTAGTTCCTTCTTCGCGGAGGCAAACACACTTAAAACATATTACGGCCCCTTAAAGTGCTAGAGTAACTAAAAATTAGTGCCTTAGTCTTGTTAAATGTAACATGACCAGAACTGAGCGCCGCTGCGATTTGAAAATTGAATTTTCTTAAATTGTGATTAGATTGCAAATTAAATTTGTTGCCCACCCCTGCTGTGAGCTACAGTGGAGGAGCGCAGCTGAGACCAGCTTTTTATAAATTAAAAATGTAAGATGGAGAAAATAATGTTGAGGGAGGATGAAGTGGGAATTCTATTAAAAGGATTTAAGGTAGCTTTTTAAAAAAAAGCTGTTTTAATTTAATATCTAGTTTAGAATCCAGCTCAGATGGATGCTTTCTCTGCTCGGCTCCATCGTCTGTCTCAGGCAGTACTCCTTTCATCTCCCTGCAGTTACCCTTGTCTTGCTCCCGGGCTGCTGCAGTCTCTAACACCTTCAGTGTTCTGTTTTCCTGGTGGACTTATCCAATCTCCCGCTGTGCTCCTCTGTTCCTCCGTAGTTACTGTACCTTCTATAGCTGTAGCCTCTCCCTGCTGGTGCTGTTTCCCCAGCGGGCTCCTCCGCTCGGCCTTCTCGCCCAACTCTAGTGTACTGATTCGCCAAAGGGATCCTCTGATCTCCCGCTAGTGTTCCTTAGGTTCAGAGGGTGACACAGCTGGCAGCCTTGTCCTTGTTTTGTTTTTTTCTCTGGCGGTGTTCTCACACTGATTTTCTGCTGCTCCTGTCTGACTCCAGAATGCCGTGTCACCTGACCCTCTGTTGTCAGGGTGATTCGTCCCCCAAAAAAGGACAACAGGGCTCTGAACTGGGCCACAGATGATAGGTGGAAGTACATGTACAGCTGAAAGCAACGGTCATCCAAACCTAGCCTCTGGAGGTGATAGTATTCTCCACAATCATTCCATCTTTTGGAAGCTGGTGAACCTAGGAATGCCTGCTGCTTTGTTTGGCTTTCTTAAGTGAAAAGCACTGCCAGTCGCTTTGTTAATCTGTTTCCGCCATAATGACGTGAAATCATAGACCAGCAGAATCCATGATGTAGGAACCTTTAGGCCCCCATGCAAATTTGCCTGCCTTAGAAAAGGCTTTCACTGGCCAGGCGACTATCAAGGCGGGCAAAAGCAGACGGTTCTGGCAGAATATCTGCAGGTTTTGCGTTCAGTGTGAACGCAAATTGAGGCTACGTTTTTTTCTTAAGTATAAGTATTCTTTTTTTTAAGAATGCTATCCTTTTTCATTTCCTTTCCTGACAAGTCTTGTTGAAATGTTAAACAGATTAAGGATATCTGATTTCTTCTTTGTTTTTCATTTCATAGCATATGGAAAACGGTGGAGGTCAGTGCATGGGATGTAGGTTCAGGGGTGAGGAAAGTTTGGCACGTTATTCTCCATGGTCCTGCGGCACAGCCGGGCCCAGCTTAAGCCCCTTTGAGCCTGAGCCCCTCAAACCCACCCCAGCTCACTCCCATTCCCACTCGGAGCGTCCGGTGAGATTTACTCAAAATGATGGTTTTTAATGCATCCAAACAAAGCCTAAACTTTGACATGGGCATTTCAAATTGTGCTGTTGTGTTTGTTGTGCAGGAGCTAGACTGTAACGAAGGAGGACAAGGCGTTGTTAGCGGCACTGGGAAACGATGGCTACACTCGTTGGATCACTATCGACGTTTGAAAGAAGAAGATCCTATTATTCCCTTCAGTGAGGCGCCCATTATCTCAAAGTGGGGGGCCATCTCTAGGGCATCCCGCACAGGCTACCATACCACCGACCCTGTACAAGCCACGGCCCGCCAGGGCAGCGCCAGCACCACGGCCATAAACTTCAAAGGTCAGGATAGACAAATAAAAGCCATCAAAAGAAATAAGGAACTTTTTTTGAGCTAGATTTCTTAAGATATGGCTAAACAGAATAAGTGTGTTTGTTGAGGAGGTAAGTGAGACACTTTGCCAATGGAACAAGATAATTTACGTTTAAAATACACTCATTTCAAGTGCATTTTATCTAATTATCTTACTTTAAGAGTAAAAATACTCATTCTACTCAAATTAAGGGTAAATACACTTGATTTAAGATATGTTGATTTATTTTTAGATTGTTTTTGCAGTGATGCGTTACTGGACACACTCTTTACATAGCTTATTTTATTAGCACAACAATTGATCCTCATTTCTTTTATTTTTCTAACAGATTACAACCACCACTTTGATCACAGTGACTATAGGTGGAGCTCCAGAGGATCAGACTCCTCTAGCCATTCCAGTTTCCTTGAGAGGTATGACATTCCTACATTTTAACAGTTTGTCAGCTGCTCCACCAGATAAAAAACAATACACTGGAACAGTTTCATGTCCGGGATGCATACATCTCTAAAACAAGAATACATCTGAGCAAATCAGATCCCAGTCTTCTATTTCTAGGCTTGTAATATGAACCCATATTACAAATTCAAAGAAAGCGCAAGAATCTACAGCTTTCTGTTCTGCCTCTTACTGTATAGTGGATGCTCTCTGAGAAAATATTGTGGTACATGGTAGATAATAAGTTTAAAGTTGCTGTTTTTTTTCCAATTATTGGATCTATGCTACATTTCACAGCATTTTTTTTACTGCACATCAGTAGTACTTAAATGATTGCTGTTTATAACACCATTACCTAGAAATCGTATTTAGACCCTTTTACAAAGTGTTAAAAAATTTTTTTATATTCTATACATAGTTATTTTTTCCATCTCTCTCTAGAAATGTTTTAATATCACATTCCAACATTTTTTTAAGTCTTTTTTTTCTTATCTTTATATGATGCCTAGTAGCACTTCTGGTGTAGTGGAGTAATTCCACATCTTTGACAATCAATGTTTAAATCTCAGAGTGCATAAGGAATAAAAAGCCATAATTTTATAATTGTTAGCGTTGGTGGCCCTGAATGATGAAGGAAAAGGACTCAAACATGGTCTTTCTCAAATGTTTTTAAAAAGCACTTTTTTGGGGGAAAAAGTCATATTTTTGTTGTGTTTTGTGTCAGTGAGCATCTTTGTGCGTCGGAGCTGAATGGCCGCCGGTCTTCGATTAGCAGCGGAGAGAAAATTGTGTCGGAGCAGCTTCAGGATCATCAGACCTCCTTCAGCCGGGAACCAAACCAAACGGAAAATGAGTCCGATCCGGATCGAGACATCGAGCTCGAACTGCGAGCTCTGGACATGGAGGATTCAGAACACCACGAGATTAAGTCTCAGGTAAGTCTGGGTGCTGAAAATAGGTGAAAATAAGCCCACTAACTAACCCAGGTACATTTTCCGTACCTTTTATTAATATGTACCTGCAAAATAAGACATGGCAGTCCAACATACAGTAACTTTAGAGGAGCTGTAAATATCTACAGCTCAGGTGGAAGAATCTGTCCATAAGTCAATACTTCTAAATACATTTCTATGTAGATAAGTGGTTTTTATTGATTTTAAAAGAAATAAATACATTTTTTAATTCAGTGTGTGTTTCCATCGTTGTCTTTTAGGAGGGTTTAGATCGGCCCAGCCCTCAGTCTCAGGATGCTTCCCACCTCCTCCCTCCTCCCTGCTCCTCTCCTCTGTGCCCCTCCCCTGTAGAGGAACGCAGCAAATCAGAAAGCCTTCTGACTGAGAAAATGGATGCTCTCCAGCTAAAAAAGATGGCTTTCAGGTAAAACATCTCCAGAAACGCTCTATAACAATGGTGGACGGTCAGTGCCTTCAAAGCCTTCACTGCTGGCCTAAAATCAATCAGAAACACTGACCTACATTCATAACCTACACTTTCAATTTATTCTATCCAGTTGTATTCATTTTTTTCCAAACAGTTTTTTCTCTGAATTTTGTTGTGCTTCTTCAGATTTCAGCCTTAGTGTGTTGCTATGTCAATCTAATCTGCCCAGGGCATTCAGAAGCCAATGTTACCTTAAAGGTATAGTGGAGGAATTTTGCACATTTTTGAAAAGACCCGCCCTCTTCACTTAAAAAAAAAAAAATAAAAAATGCACATGCACAGACCTCTACCTGCTTCAGAGAGGGAACGCCTATTAAACTCAACCTCTCGATTATACCTGCGCTTGTTATATTTCATATCTTGCCTTTTCTTGCCTTCTTCATTTCAGCTTTTTTGTGTCTTTCCTTTTTTTTTTTAGGAAATCTCTTTCTCCTATTGGGCTGGGATCAGGAGGTCTGGGCATCAGGAAGCTCGTACTACGAACTGGACCTCATCAACTGGGCGACACTTCCACCAAGGCTCATCCAGAAACCCCTGGGACAGAGATGCTGCTTAATTAAAGCTAGAGCTGATCTAGACCTGAATCACATTTCAAAGCAGAATATTCTACAACAGAGAATATTTTCTTTTTCCATTTGAAAAGGTAAAGATGTTTTTGACATCTAACCGGTCACCTAAGAGAACCTTCAACAGGCCTTTCAGTGGTTAAAGTGGCTGAAGCCAGGTCTTCCAGAGCTACATTTGTGGGACTAAATTTATAATAATCTCCATTAAAGTCTCAGTTTTTTTACAGCAAAGCCAACATTGCACCGTGGTTTCAGCACATTTCTCAATATGTGGTTGCTTTTAGTGTGTGCCTTTGAAGACTTGCGTCCCATAAAAGCAGACATTGATCAGTATCTAAAAGCTGCTTTGTAGGATTATTCTTTTTTAAATCTTAAAAGTTTAGACTGCTGCTTACCGCTTTTTTTTATTGATTTACTTATATTTTGTGTTTGCTCTCTCTGGGCAGCTTCAGGTGGTCAAATTTATACATTTTGCATCGTCTTTTATGTTTTTGCATCTTTGCATCTTTTAAGGTGTTTCTTTTTTCTTTCAGTAATATGCCTTATTATAAACAAAAGGGATAGAAAACATAACATTTCCTGCAAAAAAGACCACTTTAGGAAATCCTATCCATCCACAGTTAAAATCATCTACAGGAACTCTTGTGTTTAATTGTTCTTTGAGATGACGAAAGTGTTATTAACCAATCAAATCAAACATTATTTGCTATCTCAACATTCAAATTTTACAGATAGGGTTTTGATCAGAAGTTTTTATTTATTTGAAGATCCTGATTCTGGTGCCTCAATGAATCCATAGTTTTATCCTCATGCATTTAATTTACCCTCAAAGTGATTTGATCAGCTAACAGCCTGTATATTGTTCAGTTTGTATTGAATAGAAACCAATTCTATACAGAAATATATACAGAATGAATTTCACTATGTTAATAAAAAAAAAAACTTAAGATAAATAAAGATTTTAGATTAAATTTTAAGGAAATTAGCTATTTCATTTGCAGATATCCTTGGAATGATAGCCGTAGAACTTCAACAGGATACAGGACAGGTTTTAAAGGAAGAAACTGAGATATAAAAACCCACTGATCATAAAACAACCCTTTTATGAGTCACAAGATATTTTATATAGACCTCTGACCGTCAGAGGACACAGTGCCTGTTGTCATAAACCTCCTTTGCAAACTTTACATAGGTATATGCATGTAGAACGTGTGCGAAAGCTCCATTCAGGGCACACAGGGCCTTTCTCTCCTTTTTGTTTGTTCTAAGCAAACTTCATATAAAGCTGCTCATCAATGGATCTTAAAAAAAGGAAATGATGTATGCCAGTTGGATCCGTCTCATCTGCTTTGTCTACAGTAAAACAATTTGTGGATATGCTGAATGTCTAAAGGGGAGGTGGGCTAAAAAGAGGAACACCGCCTGTTTTCTTCTCTAGCTAAATCTCTGCTTAACTTTTTTAAAGTTTTTGATTATTTTATCTGTTTCAGTGACGCTGACTTCTATGAAGTTGTTCGTTGATAGATTTTTTTGTATTGAGATCTTTGTTTCTCATGTTTGCTGTATTGTTGATTGCTGGCTTTAAGGCCAGTGCTCTGTGATCTGCTTTTCCTGGAGGTGATGGATCTTTGGTTCAGATCAAAGCTGCCTAAAAGTTTATTTGAAAGCATTTATTATGAGACTTAAGACAAACCATATTAAAGACTATTTAGTCTTTGGTGGTAATGTCCTCTTAATGTGTTCACATCCAGATTTGGAGTCAGAAGTTCTTCACACATAAATAACAGGTTTATTTGGGATTTTAGATGTATTTTAATAGTTTGTTTTGATGAAATTCAATGGATTTCTTTTTTCAAGAAATAATAATTTACTTAGGATTTTCTAAAACAAAACAAGCTCAAATGATGAACTACAAAAACATATAGATCTCAAGCAATATTAGGGTAAATTTGGACCTTTAAAGGACCATTAGTCAAATATTGTGGTAACAGCATGTAGCGTTTTACTAATTTGTTAAACAAAGAAGAACTGCCATCCATTTCACCACGAATCAGGATGTTTAAGTAGGACCACCATCCCAAACAAACATCGGTTAACTTTAGCTTTTTGACTTGCCCAGACCTAAGGCTTATTGTTAGTTTGTGGACTTTGCTTTAAAGCCAAATCTGGTATAAAACTTAACCAGTTTTTATTACTTTGAACATTTCTGATAAGAACAGCGGTCAATAATTTAGCAGGGAAACTTGCCAAACCTTCCAAATGTTTCCAAAACAAAACACCAAATACATAGCTTTGCTCCCACACATCTTATTCAAAACTCATTAAAGTAATAAAAATGCTCCTTTTAAAAGCCCAAAACAAATTAGATTTATGCCAATGATTAATGATTTACTGTATGTTTTGACTGACACTGTTAGTGAAGTTGCCTTGTTTTTAAATGTTCAAGTTTTAAAATGAAGGCCTGGAGACTCTTGGGGAGGTTCGTCCTTTGTCACGGTTGCTCTACCCAACAGATTCCTTTCCCCCATAAGGTCAGTCCTCAAACAGAAAAGACGAGGACTGGTGTAGACCACCTGTTAGCAGCATTTCTTTAAGCTCTGCTTGCTGCAGCGGCTCTGCTTCTGTTTACAACTTTGCCTTTAAAGTCACGTAAAGTTAAGTGCCATGTCGTGTTATAGTACAATCAGTCCCCGCTGTCCACTGACGGCTTATTAAATCTCCTTACGAAGAAGCTGTGTGAGGAGACACAGGCTTCAGTGAGATGGTCCTCTCTTGTAGTTCCGCTGAGCCTCCGTTTATGAGTCACTCAGGGAGTCCTTCACTTGGCTTTTTCTACAGGCGTCTGAGTGATCCTGTCATCCAAAGCTTACCGCAGTGATAAAGTGTTAAAAAGGTTCTAAGTATCATTTACTTGGCTGCTTTCATTTTTTCCCCCTGTCAGTATCAATATTAGCTCTGCTTAGAGTATCATGAAAAAGGGCTGGGCACATATTGGACTGTTTGTAAAGCTGTTTTCATGAGTACGGACTCAAAAGTGTTTGTTTATGAAGTATCCATGGAGCCCTGCTATAGTGGCTAATTGCACTGGACCCCCCCCCCACCTCCTACAACCTGCATCCTGCCACATGCATGCCACACCGCCCCTCTTGTGATTGCAGAGGAGTACCAATGATTCTGTAGTTGTGATACAACACCCCCGGCGCTGTAAGAGTTCTGCACACGCCCACTGTGTGGCCACGTCAAGTGCTGAAGTTTGTTTAGCAGCGTCTTTATTTGCTTGCTCAGATAATTTTGATATCGTTCATTTGCCACTTTATTATTATTATTGTTGATATTATAACCACATTTGGTTGTTGTGATATTTTTCCTTCTTGATGTGTTTTGCTCATTTTGGTCAAATCGATGCCTTTTCTGTAACCTTTTTTAAAAACAGGCAAAGCATCTGAAATTTCTGGATTAGAGGGGGAAAAAAAACTTGTTTGTTATTTGTGAAACATGATGAACTAATGTTTTAAGTATTCATGTCTGTATTAGACATTTTTTTTGCGAATCTATTGTTCGATTGAAATGTCAATGAATTTCTTATGAAATGGTAAACATCCGTCAATGTATACAGTCTGACGCCATCAGTGGATGGACTTGGTAGTGTTAGCGCTCATTTCTACAGCCTGTAAAAGTCAGAATTATTTAAATGTTCCAAATCCTTGGGGCAGTTGTGTAATGTCTCAGAACAGGACAAAGCTGATCCTTCTGAGACAGAACCTCTTAAAATGTCCTGAAATGAATAATACTGTTATGTATTCCATTTATTTCCTTGGAAATATCACATTGTGAAAGGTTTCCCTTTTACTTACTGTATTTGTAATGCAGATCTGGAGTAAAGTCTAATCCTATGGTGATGATGATGATGATTTATGTGCTATTAATAATAGATGGAGCAGTCGGCGTATTGTTTTACCGACTGATCGATTATTCTGTGTTTTCTGCCTTGTTTAGCAGTATTGCACTGACCTACAGAGAGACTGGTTGAACAGGAAACCACTCCTATGTTGCACTGAGAGACTGCATTATAACGAGGAACAGTAGAATATATGAGACTGCATGCTTTAATAAACAGAAAGCTGTTAAACCTATCTGTGTTTTGCAAGCTGTTATTTTCTCCTTTTTGGGAGATGACATTATACCCATCCAGGCTACTTTTTTAACTACATGAATATTTATTTGTTGGAATAAAAAAAAGCAAACAAAAGGTTTTTAACTGGTCTTAATATTCACAGTAATTTATGCAATCTCAAAAAATCTCAAAGGATTCTCAAGAAAATGAAAATTTTTGTTTCTGTTTCATCATATGCAGTGCAATTATGCACATATTTGCCTTACTGGTAATGATATAAGAAACATTTTAAAACACAGGCCTTTAATTTGTGCATTGCCTTCAGTGGAAGTGAAATCCCATATGCTACTTACATGCTAGCCTTATTGGGGATGCTTACAAAAGAACTTTCTTGGTCCTTCCATTACAGAAAGCATTCCAGTGTTAAGTGGGACAATGTTCTTTTGTCAAATCAGACTTAAATTAGCTTTTTGTGAACAATTGTTAAAAGAATCTGTGATGCTGTGGGCTTGTTTATCTCTAAAAAGTCCTAAAACCCTGTTAGAGTGGATGCCAACGCGAAGTGATAGGACATTTTTAATCAAATCTGTGGGACTTTATTAGTAAATTAAAATTTTATATAATCTACAGTATGGCTAAATCCACACACAAATCATTTATCTGTTTGGTCTAAAAAAAAGTTAAGTCCTATAACAACCAATAGGGGGCACTATGTAGAGATGACCCAGTGCTCTGCATGATCCCATCACACTGCAAAGGGGAGATACTCAATCATCCTTTTCTCTTAATCTTTCAGCGTCGTGAAAATTTATTAGGGATAAATGACACACTATTAGCAAATAAGGGGTCTGCAAAATGTTTTGAAAGATGGTGTAAAATTTATTTTGGCATGTGTGATTTTGATTAAAACAGATCTTCATTCAAATAAGATGTTTTACCTAAAGGTTAGGTTAAATTACCGCCATAAAAGATTAATTATTTCTAAAGTGTTTACATGTTTTATAGGAGGGTGCCAATAAATGTGTCCTCATCTGAACAAAACTTGAAAATATACTGGATCTCCTTGTCAAATTATGAATTAAAGGCATGTTTTGGTTCAGTTTCATCAGCCACATCCATCCATTCACACATTACTGTATGACTCAAGAATTCAGTTACATCAAACCTGTCCAACAAGATGAGGCAGCCTGAAATATCTTTAAAAGCAACATTTTGTTCTGATAATACATTCAATAAGAAATAAGAAAAAACATTATCAGGATCAGCTTTTCTGGAAAGCTTTTCCGAATCAGGGGCTGAAAAATTGATGAGGTTTCCTACTTTTGCATAAATCTTTGTCTGATTCACACCTCTGCTAAAAGAAAAAAAAATAAATTGACATTTTGTTTTATTCCCTTAAGAGAATCACTTAAAATAATAATAATAATAATAAAAGAAATTGTTTCTGTACTAAAGAGGCAATGACATACAGTACGTTGCTCAGGTTACATCAACAGGTCCTATGCTGTATGGAAGACTGAAAACTAAGAATGTAAAAACATTATGAGTTACTATAGTTTGTTTATCTTTTTTTTTAAGACAAAACAGAATTTCTAACAAAAAAAATAAATAAAATAAATTGTATTAACCTTGAATTATTGTTCAACTAGGCCTACATGAAGTTTTTGGCTTTTGAGTTACTGACTGTAAAAAAAAGAACAGCCGATTAAATATTGTTGTAGTCCTATTTCCATTTTCTAGTTTAAATCATGTAAACCTCTAGAATATAAACTAAATAAATGGACAATTTTTAAAAAAAAAGATGGTGAAGGAAATTTTCAGAGACAATCTCCTAATGCTTCCTGGCATCAAACCTCAGGGTTCAACTAGATTTGGTGTTTTTATTTTAGGAATTTAAAAAAAAATGGAAGTGTTTATTAAGCTCAAACTGTGTTTTAAAGAATCTTTTACTGAATATAGTCCACTGTATTACTGATTCTCCTCATTTAAGTCTGTCCAGATACCAAGAAGAGTATAATAACATTTTTAACAGGGCTGCAAAAACAAGATGTCTTCATCAAAAAGCTAATTTAAAACAAAAGCTTGGTGGATATATTTTCATCATGTGTCCATTTATCAGTTTTAATTATATATATAACTCTTTAAAATGAAAACGAGTGAGTGTGGCAAACTTTGAAATGGCAAAAATATTTAGTTTTTTGCCATTTAGTTTCTATATATAAGATGGACTATAATAGATAAATTAAAGTGAAGACAATTTGTAAAAAAAAAAGTCCAGAAAAGAAGCTTTTTAAATACCAGATCATCACATGATTAAGTTATCTAACATGAATGAAAGGCTTTCCTTTTCCTGTTGTAGCTAGAAGACAAATCCAAATACGTTTAAGGCCACAACATTTTTTTTATATAAAAAAAAATTAAAATAAATAAATAATAAAAAAATTATCCATCCGAGATAGTGTGGAACAAAAGTGTATTCAGTCTAAATCTTTCCTTTAAAGATTTTCTGATTTTGATATATCTGTGTGTGAGGTTGAAACATAGCAGCATCTGAAACACTTGATTGAAGGAATAACTGCAAACTGAACATGTTTTGCTCCCTTTCATTTGTTTATTGTTAAAATGTACAAGAATGTAGTTCTGCTTTTAACTTAATCCACGTTTCAGTAAACAACAAACTCCTTACCGGCCGGACAGGAATGGCCAGCATGACCAAAACATCAGGTGATCAGTGGGTGTGTCCAAACAATACAATGCTGTGAGTTTCTGACAATGCAAAATGGCAGAGCCTCTTTTAGGCAGTAGAGATCATGTGTGTCATAAGTACATGTTTTTTTCCGATAACATCACAGCTGAATGAATCCTTATATTCACTCTATGTAACTTTTCTATAATCTCCTTTATCATACTATTCAATTAATTTGATTTTATTTAGAACTGATTCAAAGTACTTCACAGAGACGATTCATACAGACAGACTGGCTTTAAATAGGGCTGTATTTCCTTTTCAGTTGTCATCATTATACCTAAGCTTACCATCTTTCAGAGTAATAACAGTTTTAACAGTTGGACTGATGCATGGTTATGTTTGCTCATGGTCCAATGCAATAACTCCATGGTCAGTAATGATTTGGGGTGCTGTGTCATCTGGTGATGTTGGACCACAGTGTTTTAAATATAAAGACAGTCAACTTACCTAGAAACTTCAAAGAATTGACATGCTTTCCTCTAATAGCCTTAATAAAATGCAAATTTCCTTTTCCAATTGGACTTTTCCGATAGGTTATTTAGTTTCCATTTGTCATGATACTTGCTTTAATATCAAACTCACTACATCTAAACCCATTCGAGAAACTATTAAGTGCTGTCAATAAGGTAACATATGCCATACCATTAAATATGCTGAAAAGCAGCCTGGGTGCTTTTTCAATAGCTCAGCATCTGTACTACACTGCATTATTTTGGTATATAGATGTAGTTTTTAATGGGCTTAAGTATTATATTTAAGGCTGCTCAGGTAGCACTGCTGCGTTGCAGCAAGAAGGTTGTGGGTTCCATTCCTGGCCTGGGGTCTTTCTGCATGGAGTTTGCATGTTCTCCCTGAGCATGCATGGGTTCTTTCCAGGTACTTCGCTTCCTCCCACAATCCAAAAACATGACTGTTAGGTTAATTGGCTTGTCTAAATTCTCTGGTGGTGTGTGTGTGTGTGTGTGTGTGTGTGAATGGTTGTTTGTCCTGTTTATTTCTGTGTTGTCCTGCAATGGTCTGGCGACCTTTCCAGGGTGTACCCCGTAGACAGCTGGAGATAGGGCCCAGCACCCTTGCGACCCTACTTGGGATAAAGGGTGTCAGAAAATGCATGGATTATATTAAAATAAATTTTGATTAGTTTGATGTAATATTCACATTTTCATCAAATTAATGGTATAGTGGAGATTTTTCGCAAATTTTTGAAACGACACACCCTCTCTGCTTAAAAAAAATGCACATGCACTACGGCCTGTACCAGCTCACGAGAGGGAAACCCTGATAAAACGTGTGCGAAAGCGTGCATGACCCCATTTCTCCTCGTGCGTGCTCTGTTTAAAAGTTGCTGTTTGCATCGCTCATAGAAGTTTACTTTCCAAAAGAAGATTTGCAATCTTTCCACTATGTCAGACTCACCACTGGTAAGTGAAAATGGGGACGAGCACGTAGGTCGGCCTTACGTAAACATATCACCAGAATGATTGACAATTAGGAGTAGCACTTATTTAGATGATCCACTCGGAAAAAGAACTTCCTCCACTATACCTTTAACATAAAAAGAGCATTCTGTATGTTGTTGATCTTTATGCTGTCACGTTTCGACAATCACATTTTTAAGTGAATTTCTCAAATAAAATATTTATAAATGCAAAAAAAAAAATGCAATTTAGAGTTAAATAAATACATAAAATAAAGCTTGAAACGAATAATTTACTATTGATTATGTTGGTATTGCAATATGCCAAAACTTGACACCTCCAAATCTGAGTGACATCAACCAGTGAGCTGCAGGTCACCGGGGGCAACGCCTCACCTCACTTGGCTCAGCAGCTCACAGTCTAGTACAATACTGAGGAGCGCCAGGCTGCGCATGCGCAGTGTAGAAGTCAGCGGGTTGGTTGGGTCTGTGTTTACAGCTCTCCTGGATGCTGCTCGCTGCCGATGTTCCTTTGGAAAGTGCAATGCCGTGCCAAACGCCAGTGACTTAATAAAACGGTGGAGATAAAGGTAAGCTGGTCCCCTCTTGCACGCGCTGATTGATTTCAAAGCCAGAAGTGACTGTCACAGTCGTTATGGTGACAAGCGCCAGTTTGTTAGTGCGAACTGCTTGGGTAGCAAAGCTAGCAGGCGTTAGCTTAGCAGCCGTGATAATATAATGGCCTGTGAGGCTGTGGCCAACGTCTCCTGGGTTTATTCTGGATAATATTTTGGACACACCTGGACGTAGCAGCTGGCATTAAATATGTAACAGTGACCGGACGTCGTGCTCCGTTGGTACATTTCTAGTAAAACAGTTTAGTTAGACTAATAATGAATTTGTGTTGTTGCTATCTTAGCTAACGTTAAGGAGATTGATGATGGCTAACAAACTAGGGCGATAAGTTAAGAACAGAGCAAGTGAGGTTCAGCCAACCTTATCAGGTAAAAGCTATTTTAATTTGTTTGTTTTACTTTTATGTTAAGGAAGTATCCAGCCTTCCAGACTCCATTAGGTTTTCCTCACGCTATTGATTATATTTCAATTTCTATTTGAACTGTTACAGGAAGGGCATCCAAAACATTAATTTTAATTTATATATACATACATTAAAATACATGTGTACTTGTATCCCGTTTATTTTATATTAAATACACATTACTGTCTGATTTAAATACATACTAAGCAGAGAACCATATTTATTTTTCTTCTATTCCACTATACCCTCAGTTTTTATTTATTTTTATGCCATGTTTATTGTAGGCCTACATCTAGTAGAACACTAGTCAGGGATTTTTGTGACCCATATCAAATATCCGAGTTTGTAAATTGCTGCCCTACCGCTTCTGATTCATTCAATTAAATTCTGTTTATTTATATAGCAACAATTCGCAACACATCATCTCAAGGCACTTTACAGTTCAACCAGATCATACAGTCAAATTGATTCAAAGTTTTCCATCTAAGGAAAACCAGTTGATTGCATCGACGCATTGACTCGGATGCAATCCCTCGCACTAACATGCTTGTAGCGACAGTGGAGAGGAAAAACTCCCTTATAACAGGAAAAAACTTCCAGCAAAACCAGGCTCAGTGTGAGAGGCCATCTGCCGAGGCTGTCTGGGGTTCAAGGTCTTATTTCATTTAAAGTATATCAATAAGGGCTTTAAAAGTCTTTGGAGGTGTAGAAAATGAAACTGTCCTAATAACAAAATGTTAATCATAAAATCGAACTATTATTTCTCACAGTCAGCCCAAATTTTCATTTTATTATATATTATTGAATATATAATATATATAAATATATATATATATATATATATATATATATATATATATATATATATATAT